ATCAAGATCCGTTCAGCAGTTCTAGAGATATCTTCAAACAAACATCCATCTATCCATCTAAACATTCGCCTTATAATATTAGTAAGAAGTAAGATGTGGTTTTACAATTAAAAGCAATTGTATTTGCTTTTGAATTATAAAAAAAATATATTTGCAAAAAAAATCTCAACAAGCTTAGTACGCGTGGGTAAATGATACCAGTTTGCCTATAAATTATTCCGCCTTTAAGGAAATAGTGTTCTACCCACATACAATAACTCGATTTAGATTAAGACCTTTACAGCTACTGTTTTCTATCAATAGAGTACATCTAACAATCATTGCTTACAAACAAACGTTCAGTCCAGCAAGTTTTAGTTTCACACTAGCGCAGAACGCAGTAGAGCAGTAAACCGTACAGTACTAAATCTTTAACCTTTGACTATAGAGAAACGGACGCTGTGGTAACAAATTTATACGCTTTAAATACGTCTGCATGTGCTATGAATAATATTGTGTATTATTTTTGTGTTTTTCTTTTATTAATTTGCTTTAATTTGTAATTGTTTTTTTTTGTATGGACTATGATTTTGAAATTAAAAATTATTATTATTTTAAACGAAGGGTGCAGCAAACATTCACACATATATTGTATACAATCAAGAAAAATTAGAACACACTTGCACACTTACTGACAAAACAGTAAACAAGGGTTGTGTTTGAAAACAATAGCGGTACTGCAATGTCTACTGCTCTGCCTGACTGTACTACCCACGTGTTGAATTATGACCACAGACGTACAGTCGGGTGGTTAACACCGGTTTGTGTATCGACGGATGTGAGAATGAGATTACAAGAGAAATTACAATTCTAAGCTCAGTCAAACAATTACTAAAATTACTAGAACTATGTTGACAATCTTACTAATATTATAAATGAGAATGTTTAGATGGATGGATGTTTCTGTGAAGGTATCCCCGATAATATTAGTAACTGTTCTTACTTCTGTTCCGTTCTGTTCCTTTCCGTTCTGTTCTATTTTTTTCTATTCTATTCTATTCTATTAGGTTCAGCCGTTCTAGATACCTTCAAACAAACATCCATACATGCTTCCATCCATCCATCCATCTAAACGTTTCAATTTATAATATTAGTAAGATATTAAGTAAGCTCCGATAAAATCATCTTTGACAGTTTCGATTTTTTTTTACCATTTTTTAAGAATAGATATTTTGTGTTTTATAAGAGGTTAATAGTTTTAATTTTATACGGAATACATGCGTATCTCTTCTATGATTCCTCTCTTTTTCCAAACTGATTTAACTGCTATATATTCGGTCCTATTCATGCCGCTTACCAGGTGCAAAATTGACCACACAGGTAAGGTTGAAGTGGGTATAATTACGTATTTTGTCTGATGAGTGTGTCTACCGCATTATTCTAGCCCTCTTTCCTTTACACTTCTATAGGCAGCGGTCGCTTTGCCATTTCAGCAAATTCAAATGGTCCCTTGCCCGTTTGCCACCTTATAACATAAAAAAGGTAAAAAAATGAAAAGGAGAAGTGGATTTGGGAAGGGATGAATAGGATAAGGAACTGTCCTTTTTTCTGTGTTGTACTCTTTGTTTCTGTACATCAGGGCAAGCACTTTACTGCAAATCTTTACTAATACATATGTAGTAATATGAGACAGTGCACACAAAATTTAGAGCCACCTGTATCAACTCCAATCGAGGTATCGCCGTTAAAAAGTTACAAATCCGACGTTAACAGTGATAATAGGATGATGACGTCACCATTGTCGCACAGAGACTTATCTTTAACACCTGTCTTCCTGCATTCATGTTCACCTCGTTTGACTTTCAGAGTCGCGTAGGCGTCGTGTAAATTGGTTGTCCGTCGCAGCCCCTTGTTAATTGTTCTCTATACTTACCGTTCATGTATTAATTGAAATTACAATGTTCGAAAGCGACTGTTCTTAGTTTTACAAAACAATACAAACAACTATCACCTTAATGCAGATACAATAAGGTTAAAAATCCCATAACTATTGTTTAACTTAGTTGCGCTATTTTTGCGTAGGTTGTTCTTCAGGTTTGAAATATTTTGTGACAATATACGTAACGTTTTGGTGAAATCTGAACATTGGAGGTTGTTTCTGTTATCGCCTAACTGACCCAGTTGTATCTACAAGATATCGATTCCGGATTTGAAAATGATAAGAAATGATCCAATAATTTCTAAGATTTTGAAAATATGACTTGATAAGTTTTAGGTATAGATTTTTTCGGAGTAACACAAATATGACAAACAATGTGAAGAGCCAATAGCCTAATAGTTAAGGGTACAGATTTCCGATCGCGTGGTCGGGAGTTCAAACCCCACCATTCAATTATTGACGTAAACTATGTTCTAGCACAAGCATAGAGCTTAGTGGGAATAGTACAAGAAATATTATGACGAAAATCTGCTAATATTAAAAAAAAACTCAAAAGGTTCAAAAAGATTCAACAAATATATTTATATTTGTTGAATCAATCAATTCCCACGATCGATCTGAAAACACCACCATCTAACTCTTTAATTTGTCCGTATGAGAGAAGACAGCATAAATGTCAATTTACGTTTATATTACCGTAGATAAAAAATACATTTCAGAATTCAGGACAGTGCAAATATTATAAATTACTTAAGTTAGATAAGTAAATAATTATGACGTAACTTATGTAATATTTAGATGACATATTATCGTGTTACAAAAATCATTGATTACATTCAGTTGAGCGTGAAGACCTTGACTTACAAATAGTGTCAAATCGAAGCGATACTTGATCTGACGTTCGAAGGCATTGATAATTCAAAAGTGCTACGAAATTTTACACTTCGTAGACCTTTTTACCCCAATATCCCTAGAGATTATCGTCAATATTTTCGTTTTAAAATGCACCAGGCCTTCTTGACTAGAGTCTGCTGACGAAATTCTGTGCGATCTTATAATTACAAACTTAAAATTGTGTGAAAAGTGAAATCTTAAATAAATCAGTAGTACGAGTATATAATATATAACAGTACAATACAAGTTTTTTAAGAGGGAAATCATAAATTTTTGACCTTGCTATGATGGATTTGAATAACAGTCGCGATCCAGTTGGCAACCCGTGGCAAATATTTCACTAACTAACATTAGCACTAACATTTGTCAAGATAATTTCGCAATTCATTAAATTTCGTAGTATTCATTTGATCAGCTGACCTGCGGAAGTTGTATTGTCATCCTGTCATACCGGATAACGAAACTTCATATAAAATTCATTGTAAAGGTTTTACAATGACTATTGCATACATAGTCTCATTCATTGTATAAATAATTTCATGGCTAGAACTTTGACAATGCATTAACAATGCACCGAAACGAATGAAGGTTGATACTGCTAGCTTTAGTCCGCGAATTCGCGCAGAATTAAGAAAAGTCTAGTAAAAAATATAGTCTATGTCACAAGAAGATAGTATAGCTTCCCAACAGTGAAAGAATTTTTCAAATCGGTACAATAGTTTCGGAGTCTATTCAACGGAATCAAGCAAACCAACTTATTATACTTCTTACTAATATTATAAACGCGAATGTTTAGATGGATGGATGGATGAATGGTTGTTTGAATGTATATCCAGAACGACTGATCGTATCATGCTGAAATTTGGCATAGATGTAGAGCATAGTTTGGAAGAACACATAGGCTAATAATTAGGTTTTTTAGTTCCGCACTGACGACTGCTAATAGATTATAAATTACGTAGGAAGATTTAGTTTCTCATGAGTCAACTCCAACTTAGGAAAAGGCGGGATTTATAATAAGGAAAAAATAAAAATTAAAAGTAAAAATCTTTTGCATCAATTGATCTAATTTTCAATAAGTTTATCTGCAGCTATAAATTCATCTAACCAGGTCATAAGTAAGATATCACGCGAGCTCAGACGCTAAGTTTCTTAATAAATTAACACAACAAAAGCGAAACAATTTCTGTAGCAATAATTCATTCGATTCGAGGTCTAGTCTACGATTGAATTTAATTATTAACGCAATAAATTACATATATCATTATCCAATAGAATGGATTTTCCTGAATTCGACTCTTGCGTATATCCTTGTATTCAAATTGAATTTAATATTCTATATTCTATAAACAAAGTAGACAAAATCATTTCCAAATATAATACTTTTGTTTGCCAAAATAATGTTAATGAACCTTTGGCTATATTACACTAAAATTTTATACATACATCAATATTACTTTAATCTCTAATCAGCTTCTGGCTGCGACTTAGTTCGCGCGGAAATAAAAATAAAAAACTTTGGAATCTATATGTTCTTTCCGACTATATCCTACATCTGTTCCTAACTTTTTCGACATCCGTTTATCCATTTTTCCAAGACATGATCTGTGGTATGCACAGAGTCATATTCAAGTCCGTAATATTTGTTTAAACTTCTGGATTATGAATGTCAGTTGTTTATTATTTATGAACGTATGGCTAAATTCATTCATTCTCCAAAAACTACGACAGCAGTGTATGCTTTATTTCGATGTGAAAACATAAAAAGAGACCATTTGAGTTCGTTATAATATACTCGCCAACTAATTGTTTGGTTACGGTAAATTTTATTACAGTTTTTAGTGTCTTTAATTGACTATTGAAATAGTTTCATGTTTATTTGTTAATTATTTCACATCGCACGACTTCAAGGGACAATGAACTCTAAAATCTTTTGCAAGAAATTTAAAATTTTGACTAACTTATTTAGACATTGTGTGACTAACATCGGCATTATTAAGTTGATTAACTTGAAATCTTAATAACCCTAGACAAAACATTTTTTTTTTGCTATAATTTTCTATTCTTTATAGATATTCAAGAATTTCAATACTTTGTTGCACTACACAATTCAGATATGAATTCTGATATAGATGTATGGATGAGTAAGATAAAAGAGCAGAATAATGTTAATAATGTTCTATTGCAGAAGCAGTGAATCGGGCGGAGTATCATTGGGAGCACATCTCGTGTGCGCAAGAGTCGCCGGATTAACGGACAAGCAGCGAGCTATGTGCAGGTCTTCACCAGCCGCCATTGCCGCTGTTGGAGACGGCTTAAGGTAACCACAATGCCTAATACTTGGACTTCGACTATTTATTGCCTAAAATTATCATGCATGTTTCTACAGCGCTCGGAGCTTATTAAAGTTATGGGTGACTAGACCTTAGTAAACGACGCTGGCCCTTTGAATTTAGAAGAGATTTGTAATTATGCAGAGAAGCCTTCATCCCTTTAGCCTACGCACAACCCCATAGTTATTTTGTTTACAGATATATATATTTGATAATCTTACAGAATGGCGTATGCGGAGTGCCGGGAGCAACTCAGTGGGTACAGATGGAACTGTTCAGGTGTTGGCGATGGAAATGATTTCGGACATGTTATGCCTTTAGGTGAGTATTTTTACACATCCTGTAGTTTTGTATTTGATTATACAGTTAGACAACCATCTGATACTTTACTATGTGTGTAATTTTACGTATGCCATTTAAAAAAAAATCCGGTAACCTTGTTATAGAATTTTAGTTCTTGATATCCCAAGAAATAAACGATTAACTATGAGTTTTTGAAACCAAAATACCCCATTAAATTATTCAAACTTTCGTGAGAAATTATACTAAACTAATATAAAAACGGCTAAAGACTTACGTATATTCGTCCGGTGGTGGCACCGACCAGTGAGCGACGGTCCGCGTCCACGAAATAATACCAGTACCACTCATCCTGATGAAGGGCCCCCGATGGGCTCGAAACTAATCGGTGCCGCCACCGGACGAATATACGTGAGTGTTTAGCCGTTTTTATATCAGGTTACCAAAATTCCCGTTTAAAACATATTGTTATCTCTGTTGGGTTGACGATATGTTTTATACAGAGATTTTGGTTTCAACCAACGATTTAATACCTTTTCGTCTTTATTCTATTTTATATACATAGTTATTATAATTTTATGATTATGCTGGTGACGATATAGATGACGATGAATAAATCATTTTTAATATTTACCTTTACAACAAAACATTTAATTAGTTATGTAAATTGTAAAATAATTAAATAGTTTACGAAGATGCCATTGGTTCAAGTTCAACAGAATATTGTTTTCAGTTCGTGACGACCACCGCCCACTGATTCGTGATCCCCAAGTAATATATTGCCTATCTTACTGTCGACACGTATACATACAGAGTGTTCCAACTATTGTAAAAATCTAACATTGCTAAACTCTGCAGCATTACTTGCAGAACTAGCCCTTTCGAACGGTGCAGTAAGAGTAAACAGCAAACTGTAAATAGTGGAAGAATACGCGAAGTGTTCACTCTCCTTAAAGTCAAGTTATTTCTCCTTATCCTCATAAGAATTGGAAGGAAAAATGGACTTGTGAGGGAACTGTATTTTAAAACTTATTTTTCTCTTCAATTATTAATGTTCTATAACTCAAAGAATAGCGCGTATTTTGCATAATATATCATTGTATTTAAAAATAATCATATATGTTATTTAAATACGGAACATCCTGTATAACGCCGTGTTATTCTCTGTCCCCTTCTGTCATAGGTTAAACATATTAATCACAATTAATCATGGAGTCATCGATACACAACGATATCGTTGATTTGCGACAGTAAAATGGAACCTTTATTAACATGTATTGCGTCGACGGTAATGCTATTCGTTTACAATAATTTATTGTTTACTTATTTGCATAAAGACAATGTAATTGTAACTTATATATTAATTTTATATAATGTTATAAATTACTTCTATATATTAAGTTGAATGTCGCCATTATTTTAACTCTAATTGTGTTATTATATGCATTTATATTGAATAAATTCTGCAATATGTTTAAATATTGTAGGAACTAAAAGAAAATGTTTCGACTACCTTATGTAAATTATATTATTTATAAACTAGATGTAGCCTGCGACTCTGTTCGCGTGCAATTAAAAAAAGAACTTGATAAATACCCTATGTGTACTTCCAGACTATGTTCTACCTGTATGCTAAATTTTATCAAAATCCATTGAGCCGTTCCGGAGATCCATTCATTTAAACATTCGCATTTATAATATTAGTAAGATTTAAATAACTACACCTTTTTATACAACGTACAACATTAATAAACAACAAAAGATTTTAATCGTTTAGAGTTACTTAAAGAAATTAAAAAAATATTTTAAGTTACTTATTATTTTAAGTTTATTATCTAATATTAATATTGATAATGTACGAACGTACCAATAAATATTTTTATCAAACACATTCATATCATGTCAATATTATATCAATCAAACGACAAACTCAACATCGTCACTCGAACTCTCAACAAACAAACAAATTAACCGCATTCAGCCATTAAGCTGCACAGTATAAATAAATTCCCATACCGTATTTACAGTAAACATTTCGATAGATTTCAATAGCTACTTCGTGTGAGCTTAAATCAATTCACAGTGTCATAGGGTTGACAACCATTGTGTGCTAAGAGTATTAACATTTGCCCACACCCCGGTAAACAATCAACAACAAGGGAACCAGAGGGTGTTTAGTGGGTAGGCTCCATGTCCCTTTAGGGATGTGAAGAGAGTCCCACGTAACCGGAGTGGCTTTCCCCGAGGCACCCGGTATGCGTAACGCATTCCCCACTTAAAAAAAAAGTTGACAACCATGTTACACTTAACACGTATGTTTTAAACAAATCTTTAATGTTAAGGAACGCGTAATAATACACATTTCAAAAGTTCACAGTTAAATTTTACAATTTAAAAGGAATAATATTAAATTAAAAAATAACAAATAATTTATTTATTTAATTTTTTGTTTTTGACAACCCTAAGTGGTCAACTGTATGTCATCGTAAAACGTTGAAATGAAAACAATATGGCCGCCGTCCGGGAATCACTCCAACCTGTCTATCAATTAACGCGTCTGGGAATTAAACAAACTATTGCCTATAAATATGACTAACTTTATTTATATATCTAACTTTATAAAGGGTAAGTTAGAAGGGAATAAATAACCTTTGTTTTAAATTACTATTTCTCCGAAAATCTCTTCAAATTTCTTTCACATTCTATCTGGTACAATTTTTTGTTTATTTATAAAACACTGTAATGGCTGACTTCTATTGAGAAAGACGTTTGTTTGTTTACAAATTTTAATGTTTTGATTTGAAACATGTATATAGTTGTTTCTTGGTAGCAAGCCTTGGTCTCGCAAGGGCAGTAGAGCGTGCGTACAAGATTTTTTTCCCCTTTTATGACAATCCACTTCACATTTAACCTATCTGTGTTGCTAGGGGATTGTGAACTTCGACAGGTTACAATCGAACTAGGTATATTATAAACTGCAATTAAACTAGGTACTATACTCGGTTGCAATAAAGAAGATTTTTTATTGTGGTTAAAGCAATTTGTATACTACATAACTTAATCTAAGTTATGTATAAGTAATCGTTGAAGTCTTTTGTATGTCAAGGCAAATGTGAAGTATTACTTTGTCGAAAAAATATTACTTCGCTTATTTGTAAATTTTCAAAAAAATTAATCTACTTTATCAGTAGTAAAATGTGTTTATATTATGTCTTATGTAACATAAATAACTTATAGAAGTAAGTTTAATAAATTTCTCGGACTTTAAGTACATATAGTGTCCCTTTACTGTGTCGTCGTTTTATTTAAGAATCTGTAAGGGAAACTATGTATAAATTTTTAAGTAACAAACGATGACTTCAGTAATTTGTTATGATTAAAGTTAAGTTTAGAACGCCAATAGCCTAATTATCAATGGTACAGATTTCCGATCACATGGTCGAGAGTTCGAATCCCGCCATTCGTCTACTGTCGTAAAATATATCCTATCACAAACCTAAAACGTATTTAGAATAATACAAGAAATATTAGTAAATTAACAAAAATATGCTAATATTAAAAAAAAAACTAGTAAAGCTTTTCCTAAAACGTATTGTGTCATGGTTTATTTTATTTTATTATTAAATTAATTAATTTATCGTATTTATGCGACCCACAATTTATTCAAATTGAGCGCCCCTGTATAATACAAACACAAGTCAATTAGTTCCTTTCGTATAAATCACGACGTGGGTGTGATATCGCGCCTGTTTTGTTTCTTTTCGTTCACTTGTCAGACCTTTTAATTGGTTTTGTTTTTCTTTGTGCATGATTTTATTTCATACATAGAGACAAATTGAAACAACAAAATTTAATTAAATATTATTTTAAAAGTTTAACTTCGAACTATAAGACAAAAGACTGTCGTTCTTTAATACGATACAAGGTTCTAATTAAGCATGTTTTGAGTACATTATGACCGAATTTTTAATGACGTATTATATATTTTGTCGTCTCTTGCATTCTGGTTGGAAAAATAAAGAATTTTACTTCTTACTAATATTATAAATTCTAATGTTTAGATGGATGGATGTTTGTTTAAAGGTATCTTTGGAACGGCTCAACACATTTGGCACACATATAGAACATAGTATATAAGAACACGTAGGCTACTAATTAAGTTTTTTTGATTCTGCGCGGACGGAGTCGCGGCCCACAGCTAGTATATTAATAAACCATAATCAAAAAACATAGTTAAAGTAATATTGTGATAATCTTTTTTGTAAAACTTTTTACACCCACAGATCATAACAAATTTAAATTTATAATCAACGTCAAATTATAATAACAAGTTGATTCAATTAGGCTAAGATATAACTCAATCAGATCAACTTTAGTAACATGTGTAACGAGTACCAAATTGACTTTTTAATTAACACTATTTATAGTTGTTACGACAGTTTTTTTTTATATTTCGATATAAACCAACTACATACATAAATACAGTTTAAAATCTTACTTTTTATTTTACTAATATTAAAAATGTTTAGATGGATTTTTGTTTGAAGGTATCTCTAGAACGGCATAGAACATACTCTAGAACATAGTTTGGAAGGACACATAGGCTACTAATTATTTTTTTTTAATTCCACGCGGAAGGAATCGTTAAATGAGACGTTAATCGACAAAATCAGTTTAGTCCTTTTATCTTCAATTCTTCTTTTTCTAATGCCTCTCCATTACTGGAGGTTGGCCGTCAGCTCAGCGAACCCTTTCCTGTCCTGTGCCAAGCTAAAAAGTTGTTCAATTATTTGATATTAAATTAATCGTTTTATATTAACCTTATTTTATATTCAGATGTTAACTAATCCTTAAGTTTCCCACGCATTATAACTAAATAATAAAATTACCATAATACATAAGTCATTACACACAATTACATCGTCCTATGTACTAATTGACATGTTATAATGTCACCACTCTTAAGTTACTTGATAAATGTACCGCAACGACATTCAATATCTTAACATATATCAATGTAATATTATATATACTATATTTAGAGCTGTTAATAACATAATTTGCACAAATGGGCCGGCTCGACTCGTACCACGACCACACAGAAGACGACCGTGAATTCCTTTCACGACCGTGGAAAAAATTCGTCATATGAGAGTATGTGCCGGAGCCCTTATGTTAATCATCTTCCTCTTCCCAGGCTTTAAATGAGAAAGGGATGGGAAGAGGAAGTGGATTTGCAAATGCAGATTGTCAATTGAAAATGGTCACAATACTATTTTGCGAATTCAAGTGGCTGTTAGCTCGTTTGCCACTTTTCGCTTTAAAAATATGTAAAGTAGTCGAGTAATAAAACTTATGGTATAAATATATAACAAGCTTTTAAAAGATAAAGATGCGTTACCAAGAGATATATAAAAATATTAAAAAGTCATTGGTTTATCATCTACTTTCACTAAGAAATAATCACGAAACCAATAAAATTATTTACCAGAGATTAACTACCGATCAGAGGTGGCATTCTAATTTGACAACACGACGACGGATTTTCTTGGACATTTTAAATTAACCGCTGTCTATCTAACGATGTTATTTGTCCGGGAACTATTTCTATGTTATAGGCATCCAGTTGCAAATTACTGAGATGTGTTGTCAATCATTGGTATAGTTTATATTACAGTGGGTTATAACGAGTAAGTTGTGTAACACAGTCTTAAGAAAATGTGTAAATTTCCTACATGTAAATAACATACTGTATTTAAATTGTCTTCCTATATTATAACAATATTTTTTTATACAGCGACAAGAGAAGCAGCTTTTACATACGCGATAACATCCGCGGGTGTGACGCACGCACTGAGCGCTGCGTGCGCACGCGGCGACCTGCCCGCCTGCCATTGCAACTCTAATAGGTAACTACAGATTTCCAAAAGGTACTGGCTTTTGGAAACACTAAATAATATGTTAAATTCAACACTCGGTTCACTAGACTTACTAGACTTCAACCACGTGACCATCTGTCCCCGCTGAGAGGCTCGGACCCACCCTAAGTTAAGGGTCAATAGGCCATAGTCAAACACGCAGGCCTAGTGCGGGTTAACTTCACACATATCTTTGAATTTCTTCGCAAATATTGTACAGGTTGCAATACGATGTTATGCTTTACCATAAAAACGTCGAATAAATGAACACATGTAAATCTAAAATTTGCAATTGCAATGTAAAGCATTGGTAGATGGCGGGATTCGAACACAGGCCTTGTAGATTACAATTCACTTGACTTAACCCCTGAGCTACCGGTGTGCTTTATAAATTAATACTTATTATGAATACATACATTTATTTTTTTAATCTCTAGGAGAAGAATGACAGGTCCATCGGAACAGTTCCAATGGGGAGGTTGCGGGGAGGCGGCGTACGGCGCGCGCTTCGCTCGCCGATTCCTAGACGCTCGCGAACTGGAGTCTGATGCAAGAAGCCTCATGAACCTGCACAACAACAGGGTCGGCAGGAAGGTGAGCGAGGTAGATGTCAGAGAGAGACAGAGTATGTTTATCAATGTATGCTTGAAAGATTTAAAAGACATGAAATAAAAAAATCAACTATGAACATTAAAAATAACAAAAATAAGAAGTGGGTTAAAAACAATTGAAATATGTACGTAAAATATAGGATAAATAAAAAGTATTTACGTTAAAATAACGATTGATAACTGTTATTGGCGAAAGATCCGCATAAAAACAGGTTATAATTTTTAAAAGACGTCTTTAATGTCTCGTAATTTTTTAAATAAACGACTCTGCTGTTTACGATAACCGTTGCGTGTTGAGCCACCGAAAAAAAGAATGGATGATTCTCTGGTATATAAAACAAAACGATAATTCGACTTTGCGTTCGCTTAATAAGATGTTACAAAAATTCTTAGCAGTTACGTTGTTAATAAAGACCCCAGGGGCTTTATTAATTATTTACGCAGTTTGTAATTTGCATGTATTTTTATTGGAATACTTCAGCAAATGGTATAGGTTTAAACGATCCTTTACGGTGAATACTTGAATATAAACATGCAAGCTTTCTTATAGTTTTTTTTTTTTAAAGTCAAGTGTGAAAGACGTTTTGCAATTGGGTTCTTTATCTTCTTACATATAAAATAAATTTTCATTTCTTTAGAAGTTCATTAGCAATTTGATTATTTTGTTCATGTTATGTATCCATATTTTGTATTTTCGTTTTTTTTTTTAAATCTTGATTAAAGTTTACAGCAAATTCGAGTACAGTACTCACTCAAAGCTATAGTAGTCAATGGTCAGTCTACACTGGAATTAACTTTTACACTGCAATCATGTAAACAGACATTCATATGACTGCTTATTTTACTTCATTCATTTCCATTTAATGTACAATTACCTTAATGTTATTCCATTTGTAACCTTCAATTGCAAACATCTTTAATTCCATTAATGCTAGGAATTGAAATACATTTGAACTGGACTTATTCCATATTATTTTGTCTCATATGTATAACTCCCGTTTATGTCTTTTCTTAAGAATTTTTGAAGGACTTATGTTGTGTATTGCTCACTAAAACATAATTCTAAGTTTTTTTTTTAAATAGTGATGGCAAAATATTTTTTACATATAGATATATTTAGGTACACAAGTTAGATAACTTATGAGACTTATGTGTATATTTAACGCACTCAGAGTCCCCAATCAATTGAGACGTCTAAACTAAGGAGTCATAATACATAGTACCTAGTCTTTTACAGTTGGTTTCTGAGATCAATCTGTATAAAATATACACTCCTCCCTATCATTATGCTTGAAAGAACACAGATAACATTTCGGAGGAGGATTGTGATCTCAGTAACTCACCATTAGCGCGGAAGATCTATTTGGAACTTTCTTCTTCAGATAGTAAAAGACCTAGTGCGTCGTGAGTGCAAATGTCACGGCGTTTCCGGTTCCTGCGCGCTCCGGACATGCTGGCGAGCGCTACCGCCTTTCCGGACGGTCGCCGCTGCACTAAGGGAGCGATACCACCGTGCTAAGATGGTCACCCTCCACCCGCCGCCGGACACTAATGCACCGCATTCGCATCTCGTTATACGAAGGTAAATGCACGAATTAGTTTTTTTTTTATTAATGACCCCTTTAGTACATATGTACTAAAATTATTTATACGTTTTATGCAACGGAAACGGAAGATATTTAAATGGTTTCGGTGGTGGCTTTGCCAGAAATAAATAAGAAATAGATTTTTCATATCTAGTCTTTATTATTTTATAAGAGTTTTACTGCCACACTGAGTCAATAGTTCTTATTATAAAGTTAAATACGAGAAGAGATAACTTAAGTATCCGTCAATTTACTCTGAGAGTGAAAGTGTGTATAACAAGAAGTCAATAGTTACTATATAATAAATACAGGGCGCGACAGAATGCGGGCGTTGGCCGTCAGCCGCGCAAGTCGGAGCTTGTCTTCCTGGAGCCTTCGCCCTCGTACTGCGAGCCTGACGTCGCAGCGGGCTCCTTCGGCACGCATGGACGGCATTGTAACAGGACTTCTAGAGGTAACATTGACAAGGAATCTTCCGAGCAATCGACCGAAAGAGCAATCTTTGAAATTACGTGCCAACCTAAGATATAATTTTTAGTTTACCGCTGCACTACGTGTCAACTTAAATACTTATTGGGTCTGTTTGGCTAAAACAAATTGATGATTATTTTTATAATACAATTACTAGAAACTTATTTATTAATTTCAGATTTTATGGCAGTATTTTAACCAGAATAAACAATAATATGCCTAGTAAAGTAAGGTAAATTAATACAAATGGCGAATTAATGATCCTTTTCAGCAAGAATTGGTCAATTTCTTCATACATCATCACTATTGTAGTTCCAAATCTCAATATCAATAAATTTTACGATTTGTTCCACAGGGGAAAACGGTTGTGAAACTTTATGTTGCGGTCGCGGCTACAACACAATACGCACTGTGGAGGAGACGAAATGTCGCTGTCAGTTCCACTGGTGCTGCCGGGTGACCTGCGACAAATGTATCACTCGTACTGAAACTCATGTTTGCAAATAGACATGTATTTTTATCATGTAAAATTTGCAGAATATAGAATAACGCCATCTAGCGATGAGAAGCGAAACAAGTTTATATACTACCGCCATCTATTGTATTTTATCATTAAGTCTGCTATGATATTTTGTATAACGTTGTTGTATTTGAACTATTGTACAGCTGTTTATTTCATTATTTAAAATGCATAGCATTATTATTTGTGAGTAGTATTAGATATTATTTTATTCTATTTTAATATTAGCAGTTCTTATAAAAATATTTTATTAGCATTTTCACAAAACATTTATAAAGTCGTTAAAATATTACTAGAATAATAATATTACGCTTAATTTCTATACGTCCATATTTAAATTGCCAGTTTTTAAAAGTGTTGCCATAGCATAAATCTTAATTCGCATTTTATAATTATATTTAATTGCTTGTGTTTATTTAAAATACACCTGTAAATAATAAAGACTAGAATGTCAGATCTATATAAATATTAATTTTAAAAGAGTTGCATAAAAATGTTCTTGCCACTAATTAATTACTCATAAAGTTCTCAATCTTGACTCTTTCATTTTTTTTTCACTTTAAATTTTATGTCATCATTGTTTAATGTTTATACGTATTTTTTTAAATAATATTCTTAAATGCTTTAAACTCATTATTGTATATTTACACGTACCTACATTTTAATAGTACTTAAGTAAACATTCCGCATAGTTATAAGTTCTAACTTATTCGTTTACATTTAATACTTTTGTGAAATAAATTTTATCAGAATAAAAACTTTTGTTTTATTATTTAAAAATAAAGATGCCAGTTCTTATAATAAAAAAGAAAATATCCTCCTTTTTTTGAAATTGGTGTGTTTTACATGGAAATTATTACGTAAATAAATAATTCCAATAATAAATGTAGTGCTAAAAGATGGCCATAACTCTGTGACTTGATCATATCATAACAAGTAAGTAATTCAAATTAAAACAATTAATACTCAAGGTATGGTAACTTATTAAACACGCATACAAATCGCCATATCAACGTTAATAAAGCCATTATAAAAAATATTCATAGTATAATGGCGATGATAGACCACAAATTAAACAGCGGACGGAAACATTTAAATAATTCTATTGTGACCTTACCACCGCATCCTATTCTTGATCAGATATTGTTTATGATTTACCTATGTCCAAAGCAACAAGATAATAAGATTTTTTAAAGAAGTTAGATTCAATGTAAATATTAACGATCAATTTAACAATAGTGAAATAAGGGCAAAAGAGGCGCTACTATTGAATTTGGTTCTGTCACGAAATTTGTTTAACTCTATCTGGACATGGAAAATGGCATAAAAAGGGCCTTGTGGGCAGGAGGGCGCTAATGAGCTATCAAAATTTAGTTTGCCTTTCACCGGTTCAACTATCCTTGTCGGTTTATAAACAAAAATGTTAATTAAATATTGTTAAAAAAACGAACGGCCTCAACAATTTACATAGAAATCTCTCGGAAGATCACATAATATTAAAGGGGAACTTTTAAAATATTAATCAAAGACAAGAACGAAAAGCAGATTTTATAGCAATCACTATTCGCAACTGTCAATGTCTCTCTATAAAATCGATTTTAAAACGAATTTGAAAACTTCAACAAAGTTTCTTTCAGAAGTGTCAACAAAGCGATTCTAGTTATAAAAATTCAAGTTTTTTAAATTAAATATTACATGAAATCTCACTGAAATGCCTAAACCTGTGTGCGTACAGTGTAACACGAATGATTCTTTACTTTGGCGAAGCGCAGAGAATGGACAAATATGTAACGAATGTCATTTATCGAATACCATAAAAAAGGAATCAAAATCAGACTCTGCAGTGGCGAAATCTGAAAGTGATGAGAAAACAGAAGAAAAAGATAACGAAGGAAAGAACGGTAAAGGTGATGAGTCTACGCCCGCTAAAGCTACAGGAAAAGGAACAAGGAAAAGTACTAGAGCGACTAGATATAAGTCTAAAACTCCCGCACCGTTTTCCAAAACTTCTGCGCCGCGGGGCAGAGGTCGACGAAGCATTTTTAAACGGCAGCCATTAAAGGCTCCGACAGCTACAGCCACTGTAGTCACCAGTGATTCTATATTTTATAAGGTAACACAGAAACTTTTTAATTGTTAAATTCAACTTTTTATAAAACTAATTCTCGGTTAAAATAAATAGGCTGTTTAATTTTTTTTTTGGCGGCTCAATATCGACTGTGCTTTTAATATAATAGAATGCAGTAGTATAAATTGTAACATAACACATTACTAATAAGAATAACTGGATGATGATCGCAACTCCATCCCCACGGATTAAAAAATAAAATTAAGCCTTTGTATTTTTCCACTCTTCATTTTATTATGGCAAATTTTATTAGGGTCTATTGAACTATTCTGCATATATCTTCTATCAAACACCCATCCATCTATTCATACATCTAAACATTCGCATTTATAATATTAGTACATATTCCAAAATAATATTATTATTTTTTTATCTTTACAGGGTAGTTATATGCAAGTAGGTGATATAGTTTCCATGATAGGTGTAGAAGGTGGCACATATTACGCTCAAATCCGTGGCTTTTTGACGGACCAGTATTGTGAGAAGAGTGCTGTCATAACCTGGTTAATACCGACCAGGGCCAGTCCACCTCCTGAAGAGGGTTTTGATCCTGCCACATATATTATTGGTAAGGTTGCATTAAGATTTACCTTATTTAATATGGAGAGGGGAAGGGAAGTGGATATATTATGAGATAGAAAAGACTTAAAATTAGAAATAAAACTGATGCACACAAAGAAAGATTTTATATGGCAAAGTTAAGCGGCACATCTCAGTCAATATCTTAATTGCAATGCACACGCACAAACACAAGCATAAAAGCATATGCACAAATAAGTATCCAAAACCTATCTTACATGAAAGCGTAGTGTCCTAAAACAGCGCAACCACAGAAGGTTGGGTTTCATGTACGTGTAAGTCTTATTGATTAAAAAAGATTTAAAAATCTTGCTCCTAACTACCACTAACTACTTTTGAAAATATTCAAAAAACAATGAAATGGTGAATGAAAACATTGTGATGCTACACATACCTACGAAGAAATTCATATGTGATAGATGCATAGATTGTTGACGATGGCCTAATCACTCCTTTTAGGGTAGGCTGCGAGCCCCTCAATAGGGATATACAGTGAGCTGGTGATATCATTCTTTGGTTGTTCAAAAAAAAAATTATTTTCAGGTCCTGAAGAGGATTTGCCGCGTAAATTGGATTACATGGAATTTGTAATGCACGCCCCTTCTGATTACTACAAAGATAGTAAAAGCCCATACCCAGTAAGTGATTCGAAACTCAATGATTACAGTGGATTTATCTGGACCACATTAGAACCAAAAGAAAAAACACATTAATAACAATTTCTGTTAAGTTTATTATAGTTATGCAATATATGACTTTTTTAATTCAATTATGTTTTTATTTTTATAAACCCATTTGATCCTGGTTCATTTGTTATTGTTCGTTCCCGCTGCTTGTTTGCCCTTTGATTAAAAAAATAACTCAAACTGTACCTTCTATATTTAGCATAAAAAGTATTTATTATTTAATTTGGGAAGGGAATTATTGCTTTTAACAATTACTGCATTTCAATAAAGTAAAGACTTTTTATATTAATTTACAAAGTTTTTAAACGAGTCCGCCTATTATCATTTTTTTCTAATTTTATGACCTGGTAACATAGACCTTTAGGTCAGCCTATCAACAGACTAGTAACAAAATTCGTTGCGCCAAAGACCAAACATTACCGAATCAAATTAAAGAATTTTGCACAAAATTCATTTTAAACATTCTTTCGAATATGTCAGAGGCCAGAGAGATCTGCCAGGGTAACTCCGAATAAAAGTTCTTAACTTCTGCCTACTCTAAACTACTGCGTGAGTTCGTTGTTGTATGTCCGTTATCGATTCTTACAAAGCTATTTACTCTTTGTCTTTAGTCTTTGTTTCATCTGTCATTTCCAAATAAGATATGACTTAAAGGTCTATGTAACCAGGTCATAAAATTAAAAAGAAAAAAATTTCATCTGTCACTGTCATATTGATAGGAAATTGTCAAACATCTATCGAAATAAGGCTGTATGGCTTAGTTCCTTTGCCTGCTCTTTCGAGTGAATAATAAAAACAACAATCTATCGAAATACCGCCACAAAAATAAATCCTAAATTCCATATTTATATTACTATCCTTGTGATAATTTATAACAAGTTCAAACATCCACAATGAGTCGCAAAGAAGCACTTTCGTCCTTTATACAACAAATTCACGGACGGCCAGTTGTTGTGAAGCTAAACAGCGGTGTTGATTATAGAGGTAAGTTTAATCAAATGATATTACACTTAAAAGTTTAATTTTAAATGCGATGTTGCATTTACAAATAAACATTATCAATAAAAATTTTCAAAGAACAACAATTTTTCGGTACAAAATTATGTTTGCATATTTTATAACCTCTAAACATATCATAATTCACTAATATTTTTTGGCGTTTTGAATCGTAATTTTCATTTGATGTTACAAAAGCATCCTTTTTGTTATTTATTCCAGGAGTTTTGGCTTGTCTCGATGGTTACATGAACATAGCCCTCGAACAAACTGAAGAATATGTCAATGGACAACTAAAGAATAAATATGGAGATGCTTTTATCCGTGGAAATAATGTCCTGTACATCAGTACGCAGAAACGGAGGATATAGCTAAGGCCAAGGCTAAGGCCTTAAGTTATCTCTAAGTTGATGTAAGTGAATTTAACTACGATAAATAAAAACTTGAATTTTCCAATGACATGTTTAAGATTTTCTTTAAGCAATACTGCCATCTATTGGTAGAAATATTAAATAACATGTATTTGTTGAAAATTGCCATCTGTTGGTGAGTTTCCGTATTCATTTAGACTATTGTATCTTGAGAAATTTAAAAGGGTTTTATACAACCTTCAACTATGGAATATTCATTAATTTTAAAATGCGGAACTGAATTTATTTTCCTGTTTTCGTAAAAAGACGGTTTTTTGTGATTAACAGAATAGTCTACAAAAAAAACAAATCTTATTTATTAAATTTTATTTTTTCGTGTAGTAAAACTTTATGTCACCATTATCCTGGAATCAAAACAAAATGTTAAAATTAAATATATTAAACTCAAAAATTATGTAATAAAATTTGGGATTATTCAGAGAATCATTAGGCACTTTAAAAAACAATTACCTGAGAGCCATTGTCTGGAACTTTACCTTTCCCTAAATCTGCAATCAATTCTTCACCTCTATATCCATATCTCGTTTCATAACCCTTTCTATTATTCTTCCCAATTTCTGGATCGAATTTTACATCCACTCTATAATTCAAAATCCTCCGATCGAATAATGGCGCCCAAAAACTTGAAAATAGAACACTTTCACAGACCAACGGTAATGCCAACATTAAAAATATAAACTTCAACACCATTATATTGGTAGTAATTTTAAAGGTATATTTTGACGTTTTAATTCCCTCGTATTTGACGTATTTATGCAATCAGGTATAGGATTCGAATGATAAAAGAGAACTAATTTTCACAACGTCCAAGAAAATAAATAAACAAGTGGATAAAGTTGTTTTGTTTAACTTTACATGTTTCAAGGTTTTTGCTCAATAGTGTTATTTTATTAAGGTGCATATAATCTTGTGTGTCGTATATTAATCGTAGAGAATAAATCGACCCTTAACGAGACATTAGTGACGATTACAAGAAGTATTAAGAGGGATCGCTTGTCTAATTTTAAATATCAGTTTATGGTATGTTCATTCATTCTTGTGGTAGTTGTAATTTAATTGACAAATGTATTAATCAACTTCTAGTTTTGATTTCTAACGTCTTTTCAATTCAAAATAAATATGAATTATTAATTTTTTATTTAGTAATGAAAAAACAGAATTTATTTTCTAATAAAAAATAAAATTTTAGTAAGGATAGGTATGTCAAAATAGCTTTTTTTTACAATGGTGACATTTTTTCCTCAATTTCTTTCCATCTTACTTCTTACAAATATTATTAATGCGAATGTCTAGATGGATGGATGCATGTTTGTTTGAAATTATCACTGGAACGACTCAACGGATCTTGCTGAAATTTGGCATAGATGTAGAACAAAGTTTGGAAATACACGTAGGCTAATTATTAAGTTTCTTTTAAATCCGCACAATCAGAGTCGCGGGCTACAGCTAGTAACACATATCTGCCTCTTAATTACATAATATTGTTTAATCCCATACGACCTTTACCTTGGCTCAAGATGTCAACTTTACGATATCCATGTGTACACAATTGGTCATAACTGTTAAGTAATTTGTAAAGCACTTACAATGTGATGCCCAGTATATATATTTTATGTACTACCTTTTGACCGTGACTTCGTCTGCGTTTTTGAGCGCAAAAAACTTAGTAAGTAGGTTAGTCGTCTTTCAGATTGTGCTCTACATCTATGGCAAATTTCATCAAGAACCATAGAGCGGTTTTGGAGATACCTAGTAACAAACATCCTTTCATCCATCCAAACTTTCGCATTTATATTAGTATGGTACATGGAGTATGTTAAGTATAGTTCTGTCATTTTCAATGGTTAAAGTCATAAGTATCCTAGATAAATTATTCTTAAAGTATAAAGTGTGTTTTTATAAAACAATAGATCCGTTGATCTAAAAATTATAAATCATTTCTAATAAAAATGAAGTTTTTCGTATAATAAAAAACTTAATTTTCATTACTCAATATTCATTTCAGAGACCAAACTCCCTGTATCCAACGTATCGTCATCCCTTTCGTTATGTTTGACAAAACAGAGGCAACAATATGTTTATTTTGGTCTCGGAAACCCACGATGAAGTGATAAGGTAGTTAGATAGGTGTTTACAGTTTGTCCGGAAACAATTTTACCAAAAAATAAGGAAACATATCAATTTTCCTTAGTACATTTTATTAAAATTATCCTATAATACAACTAATAATTGGTTTATGATTATAATAAAAAAAATGCCTAATGAATGCCCTCTAGCGGCGAGTAGGATTTATATTGATACAAGTCCGGTCCACCGTAGCCGTACAACAGTTTGCCTTTTCCGTTCTCGTCGTAGTATGGATAGCGGTACTTCGGTCTGAAAAAAAATAATTGGTATGAACTGAATCCTAAATATAAGTTACCTTAATTATTAATACTAAAGACGCTCAAATTCAGTACCAAAAAGTTTCTACCAATAGATGTCGCTGTTTTATAAATTTACTAAAACTAATTAAGTGCGTAATTTGTATGTATAGAAAAAAACGAAAATTACCTTTCAAAATACTGGAAATTCGGTGCTCTGGGTTGTGGCACGGACGACTCTGATGTTATCGCCATAGAAAGGATAATAACGAGCTGAAAAAAAAAGATTAATTGAATAATCGTCTACGTAAGTGGTAAAACGCCATCTATGGGAGAATAGTTTCACCACATTAAAGTTATGTTCACGGATTATATAAAAAGTCTAGTGACATACTGACCCATAATTTCTATTGACTACTTATTAAGAATTTCCAGATAAAAACTTCTAGTACAATAAGAACATTAAGTAATTGGTAAAAAAAGAAAACAATCAAAAAGGTTGTAATGAATGCACAATACGTAATCACAGGAAAAGCAAACTTTTTGCGCCATAATAATTAATAATTTGGAAAGTTGAAAACATTTAATTTTCTTTTCATTTTATTTAACAAACAAAAGCGTCCAAATATAAAGTAACAGTAATAAAAATATCATTAAAAACAATTTAAGAAAACAAAACTTACCAGTAACATAAACAATTTTAAACTTCGTTCCATTTTCAAAAATAAAAAACAAAAGATTTAAACTGACACTTTCTTTTTTTTTTTAAAAACAATCTCAGACAAAGATGTGGCGTACGTGCGTCCACACGGGAACCGGTTACAAAACTGTTGTAATGGTGGTGGAACTTCGTTTATCGAATATTAATTAGTGTTGATGAGTTACTTAACATCTCATACTTATAATTATTGGAAATTATTTTTAAATTTTTAGAACATAATTAAACAACTCGAAAAACTACTTATGGTACTTTTTGGGAGTAATGAGTAGTCTCCTGATTTTGTAGTTGGACTTACTAATTTTGATATTTGGTAAAGTAATAATTGTCATCGAAACAAATTAAACAACTTTTTTTTGTTAATAATATGATTTATACTAATAATTGTTTATCAAAAATGCCCATCATATTTCGAAATTCAGTTATTTTTTACGCGTGATATTTTTAATCACCGCGTACCCAGTAAAATACCTAATATGGATATTAGCATTTTGACACCAAAGTAGTACCTAAGTGATTTTTATTATTATATTATTATTAGTTTTACACTAAACTCTCACTGCTGTAAAAAAAAATTACATGAAGTATCAAATGATGTCCGTCGCGCTATACTTGTTCAGAAGTGAAAGTATAGCCGTGTACCGTAATGTAGAGGTTACTTACGTCACAGCACTTCTAGAATGTTCCTTTTATGTTTACCACGTTCATTTACTCTTAATACTCAAAATTAATATATTAATAATTAAATAAACACACCCTTAGTGTAGATTTCGCATGTACCAAAATATATTTGAAATAAAAGCATCTTTTTGCTTATCTTAAATTTTAAATTTATATCATTTCATACTAATAAAATTTGTAAATTATTTTGCAAGCCATATCTATCAAATAAAGTCGAACCTGGATAATGCAGTCTAAGGGACCACTATATTTCTCTCGCTTACAGAAGTTTCTCGCTTATGAAGGTCGTCCATCGCGATTTAACAATACCTCTAGCTCATAGAAGTTTTTAGGTTATCCAGGTTCGACTATATCTTACTAATATAAATGCGAATGTTTGGATGGATGTTTGTTAGAATCTCCAGAACTGCTGCATGGATGTTGCTGTAATTTGACATAGATGTAGAACATACTCTGGAAGAGCACATAGGTTACTAATTAAGTTTTTTTTAATTTCACACGGCGTCGCGGAAGACAACTAGTATGTCAGATGCAAATTAGACTCAATGTTTTTTTTTATTAATTAGTTTTGAGCATTCATACTTTTTAGTGAGATATTAAAATAAATTACATTATAATTTTACATTTTATTTATTTTACTAAAAATGACTAGAATATAAACAAAAAGCAAGAATTGAAGAATTTTATAGATATTATCACAGTAAAAAAAAGGCTTTCATATACAAAAGTAACAAACTAGAAAATTCTTCAATAAAAACCAAAATATACTTAATAATTAAGCAAATATAATTCTATAATATTCGATTTATTTTTTACCATCTTATGGTTTAAAGGCTTTAAGGTTTTAATATTTTAAGAAACTTTTTTTTAATTTATTGCATTTTTTTTTATAATTAAAGATTTGTAAATAAAACTACAAATATTTTAAAAATTTTGCAATATTCAAACTACTAACATTTAAAATTCCTAAATTTTTTAATTTTTTAAAGATAAAGATTAGTTTCATAGTAATAGCATACTTTTATCCTAAAGATAAAGTTTTGACTATAAAATTTAATAATTATATATTTATTAAGCTTTATTACGACAAATTTTAAATATATATTAAGACCTTAAGTTTTTTTTTTATCAACCCAGTTTCTATATTAACAATAAATGCAAAGCACTTATAGTATCTTAAAACATTATATATTCAAAGAAATATATACCTAAATATATTTACCCATTTTCCATCTTATATAATAAGAATTACTCAATCTTATTTATAATATTCTGCCTCGAAGGACCAATATAGTTAATGGATTTTATGGATTCCTTCGCAAAGTTACCTGATATTATGGATTTCTTTGCGAAGTTAATTTTTTGGTGTTCGCCAAGTTAAGGGATTTTCAGGGTTTCTTCACAAAGTTAGCAGATTTTTGGGGTTACTTCGCAAAATTAATGGATTTTATGGATTTCTTCGCAAAGTTAATGGATTTCTTTGCAAAAAAATGGATTTTCTGCATTTCTTTGGAGCACTACTGGAATAATCTTTATTCTAGTTTTAATAAGCTTTACTTTTACAAATCAGCAAGTCTCAGGATCTTGCTGATTGTCTGTACGTCAGTTACTTTGTACTATGCCCATAATTTGGCTTTTGTGGTAGACATAGTCGACTAATTTTTGTGAAATACTTCGTTTCCTTGTCAACATGTATGCAGCTTGTTCAAATTTATGTTGGTTTCTTCTGATGTACGCGTGCGTGTCTGTTATCAAGTTATTTAGCTTTTCAGGATTGATTTCGTCCATCGCACATTCCTCCATTAATGGTGGGTTGAAACGGAAATAACTGCCCGGGGGGAGTAAATCGTTTAGGATTAGATGAACACCTGAAAGAAACAAATTGGTAGAATTATATAGCAAGTAATTTTTTTTTCAACCAACCCGCACTTGGCCAGCGTGGTTGACTATGGCCTAATCACCCTTAACTTGGGGTAGGCTCCGAGCCCCTCAGTGGGGACGTATGAGTGAGCTGATGATTTTTTTTACAAATTTGTTTTTTTTATCGCATTATTAGCGTAGTAAAAGTTTAATTTATAATTATCAGACACCAAGGGCTAGATAATTTTAGGGTTCCGTACCTCGAAAGGAAAAAACCGGAACCCTTATAAGATCACTTTGTTGTCCGTCCGTTTGTCTGTCAAGACCCATTTTCACAGGAATGCGTGAAGATATCAAGGTGGAATTTATTTTTAGTCTACCCACAAATGTAAGCACTAACTAATCAAGCAAGGCATTTGAGATTCAAGTTGTTAAGCAAAAACCAACCTTCTGTATCAGTGGCAGAGTCCAAAATCTTATTGAATTTATCTTTCCAGCTTGTACTTGAGGCTTCTTTATTCAATCCTTTACTCATTAGTTGGTAGTCGGAATGTTTGTTCAAAGCTCTGCCTGTTCCTACTGAAATAACTGTGCCTTTTTTCACTGAATTAGCCCCAAATAATAGCTTAGCTTCATGTAGACCTACTCCAGTAGGATTGTTCACCATAATACCACCGTCCTGGAATTAATTATTAATATTGCTACAAAGATGTATGGATTACTAAAGGATTTGGTCGTAAAATCAGACTCGAAGGACCAAATATATATACATTTAGCGGGATATTTATAAGAATATTGACAATATTATCAGACAGACACTCTTTTTTTGTGACTGAATTGCCACTGTTTGGCTTGAGGAGTCATTTACAGCTTCACCGGACTTGAGGTGATCGAGAGCAGATGGCACTTAGCCTAAACCTCGTTTAAGAGTAACTAAGCTCGAGGTCTCCCTCAGGAACCTTGGCTCGGGCCGTTACTTGGTTATTATTACCGGAAGGCCGCCGAGCTCTTAGGTCGCTTCGGTGAACGCTCTATAGAGTGACGGGGCTCAAGGGCCCCCGAGATGGGACCTCGGCTTGGGCTGTTTAGCATTCCGATTCAAGGGTGCTTAAAAGGGCCGAACCTCGGATTACGTACGATTACGAACGTACGGATTGTAAAACTTCATAATGGTGTGTTACCTGATGTAGAGCGCCATCTAGTTTGAATTCATCGAAGTATGTAGGCGCTGCGGCGGAGGCGCGCACCGCGTGCCACACCGCGGCGCGCGGCGTGCCCGCGAACACTGACCTCACGCGGAAACCACATTCATATGTACGGAATAAAAATGGAGCTAAACGAGAGCCAGGACTCACAACACACGACACCAACGCCATCTGTAATTATGAATTCATATTTAGATTTTTTTTTTATTTATTCAAACTTTCGTAAGACTTGAAACTTAAGTAATACGGCTAAAACAGTAACGTACGTTTGTCTGTTTTTTTAATTGTAATTACCGTTGGTTTGATATTAAAATTTCAGTATAAATCGTCATCCTTGTCGTTTTCTTTGATAAAACAGAAATAACAACATGTTTGAAATTGAGATGTTAGTCTTAGAAACTCACAGTTGTGTTTCAGCTCTGAATCATTATAATTCTATACAATCAAATTTGTCTTTTTAATGTTTTTTAATACTAAAAGTTAATTAATGCTATCTTTATTACTAATATTATAAATGGATGGATGGATGGATCTTTCTTAAAAAGTATCTCCGGAACGGCTCAAAGGATTTTTATGAAATTTGACACACATATAGAACGTAGTCTGGAAGAACACACAGGCTATTTATTAAATTCTTAGCAGAGTCGCGGGCTACAGCTAGTATAAATATAAACCGACAAGTTACGGATGTAACTTAGGAAGTAGTATATATAAATGACAAACAAGTAAATACAGTACAACGTACTTTAGGCGTGTTATATCTGTTGCACTCAGTGAGCGTGCAGTCTCTCAGATTCTCCTGCAGCAACTTCTCCCACGCCTCAGTGTCGTAGTACGAGTGCGTCCACACGAGCCGAGATGTGCCTGAAATATTTTCATTTATTTTAAACTAGATGGCGCTGTACTTAATGTTCCGTTAGTAACTCATTTTTGTACTAGATGGCGTTGCGATCATTTTGAAACACGCGTAAATTTAAATTAAACAAAATTATACTTTAATATAAGAAATAATACAGATATATTTGTGAAATCTTCAATTATGTTAACTTTCTAATCATAATCTATTAAAAAGTATGACATTTTTACGAAAAAAATTTTAATTTAAAGAGAAAAAAAAATTACCCCCAATAAGTGAGGTATTCCCAAACATCTTCTTAGACAATGTATGATACATCTGATTCGCTGTCTCTAAATTACCAACGCCGCTACCTGAAACAATATTAAGTTAATATTTAAAACTTGAAACACCATCAACGGCGCTGACTGTACTTTTATATAACTTACATACAGACACTACAATTTTATTAGCTATATATAATAGATATCTCCCGACAAAACGTCCGTGTAAAATTTTAAAAATCTTAATTAGTAGCCTAGTATTCTTCTATACTATGTTCTACATCTATGCCAAATTTAGGAGAGATCCATACAGCTGTTCCGGAGATATCTTCTAACATTCATCCATCTAAACATTTGCATTAATAATATTAGTAAGACTAGCTGTCGCCCGTGACTGAATGTGCAAAATTAAACAAACTTATAGTCTATTTATCTTCCAGACTATGTTCTACATCTATGTCAAATTTCATCAAAATCCATACATCCATTCCGGAGATACCTTCTAACTTCTAACAAACATCTATACATAAAAATATTCACATTTATATTATTAAAAAGATTACTTACCAATAACCGCAGCAATAATAGCACCAGTACTAACACCAATGATATAATCAAACATATCCTGTACTTTTTGTCCGGTCAACTTCTCCAAGTGTCGTAGTATCTCTATAGCTATTATTCCTCTGATGCCTCCACCATCAATCGACAAGATGTTAGGACCTGGACCTTTCGTAGGTCCTGTATATCCCATTAGGGCTAAAGCCTAAGGAAAAAATACATATTTAAAAATAAAAAAAATATTTTGTTCCGAATGAAAGTGTAAAGTTTGTAAACAAATGCTTTACTAAGCTTTATGAATTTTTATTTAGTAATGTTAAAGAATAATCAACTTTTCTATTATCTTATATTATGTATTTGGTATATAGAATTGGACCTCGATAAAAAGTCATTTGGTTCTGACTGACTAACTCCATAAGCGAGAAACTTAGGTTAGAGAAACCTCTGAGAGCGAGAAAGAAATTACAGTCCCTTGGATTTCACTTACGTTTGACCTTATTATGATATATAGTTTAAGTTTACTTTATATAACAATTTCGACAACTGAATATGTTTTGATTTTGAGTTGGAACTATAATTATTACACTTTTAAGAGTTTTCTTATAAGAAAAAAAAAATATTTCAAGTAGAACGATCTTTTAAGAAGTTTGACCTTGAAATGTCAAAAAGAAAATTCAATAACAAGTGTATACTTTTGAAAGTCATCTATAATTTTTAATTACAAGGTTATGGCAAAATGCCACAGTAGTGGTGTGATCTTTTACGTTTGTTGTCTATAAGACACGTAAAGTATTATTTTGCCAATTCCCATTCACTATAAAGTATAAGAAGACTAAATTAAATATCACAACATGCTTCAGATAGTTATTCCTCACAACATGTAATCATAATTTAGCAGTATAAAACATGTCAGAATGACCTTCATAAGCGAGAAACTTGGGTTAGATAGAAATCTCTATAAGCCAGAAAATTATCGCGGTCCCTTGAACTTTACCTGTCTATACTTGACTATATATACATATAGTTGTCTCTGTTTTGTCAAATAGAATGAAAGAGATGACAATATGTATTAGTACAAGAGTAAACATTCTCTTGGTCACATCCAGCTTCTACTATTTTTAAATATTTTTGTCTCTATTTTGTCAAATAGAATGAAAGGGATGGCAATATGTATTAGTACAAGAGTCAACATTCTCTTGGTCACATCCAGCTTCTACTGTTTTTAGATATTGTTGTCTCTGTTTTGTCAAATAGAATGAAAGAGATGACAATATGATAATACAAGAGTTATAAATACCTCGTTAACAATCCCTTTAACTTCTCTTGTGATGTCGGTATCATCCCTTAATTTATTTTGTACCCGTAATAATGCACGGACAGCGCCTTCCTGTTAATAAAATCATAATAACCTAACTATTATAAATACGAATGTTTGTATGAATAGATGTTTGTTAGAAAGTATCTCCAGAACGGCTAAACAGATCTCGAAGAAATTTGACATAGATATAGCAAACAATCTGGAAGAACACATAGGCTAATATTTAAGTTTTTTCTTTGATTTACACAAGGTCAGAGTTCAGGAAACAGCTAGTTTTTTATAACTTATTCAAGCATGTAGAATTCTGTAACTCAAGTAATTTTAGGCTCATGAATTTTAAAGTCTTAGTAACAAATAATTTAGTTGATTTTTTTAATACTATTTAATATATATTTTACTTTACCTTAATAGCGTAATCCCTGGCTTCAGGATATTGAATTAGATGATCAATGAAGTGCTCCGTTCTTTTCCGCAGACACTCCAGTGTCTCTGCAGTAACTATTGCTGATATCACATATGCTGTCCGTGAATGTATTGATGTCTGTAAATTATTGTTTAGTTTAATCATTGAAAAGTAATATTAGCTTAGATGTTTTGGTTATCCATTAAGCCGACCCAAAAACATCTTACATAAGAACAAATGGATATGTCTTAATTTATTTTTTCATATTTACATAGGTAATTCATTCATTACATAGCTAATAAATTCTTTGGTTAGGTTATTAAGTTTGGTTTATGGATTTCTGTTGTCGGAAATAAAGAATTTTGAATTAGAATTGGTACATGACTAGTGTAGTGGTCGAAATTTATGCGAAGTTCATTTTAATTAGCTTCTTTAACAAATATTAAAGTATAACATAGTAAAAGAAGTATACTCAATAAAAAGCAATGAGTGGATAAGAAAAAACGTGAACCTAAGATACAATTACTAATATTTATTTAACTGGAAAACTAAATTTAATAGTTTTCACAATGGACAGTAAAAATAATAGTAAAGTAATCGTAAAGAGCAGAAACAAATTAAAAATCAGCTAGCGAGCTGGACAAAGAAGGAATTCACTGCTCAAATCTCTTCCAATGTCAGCTAGCCTAGCCAGCATACTGTTTATGTATCTCTAAAACTAGCATGAAATTTTTTCCTTTATATATCATATTTGTTCTAATTTATTGACATAATCTATTATATAATCCATCAAAACTTTCACATAACTGATAAAAAATTAAGGTCATTTACATTTCCTTGTTAATATCACGCAGTTATCAGGTCCCCTACTACTGTATAAAAACATATTATATGTATGTTATCATAATTATATCATGCCATATACATGCCTTCATAGATAAGATATAAAGATCATATAGAAAGATGTCATTTGTTTTTTGCCACTTTGTCAATTTGTTTTCTTGTTATCTATTTAGTACCAAGACAATCTAGATGAGATTTGGCACAGATTACTAGACTAGACAATAGGCTACTTACTATGTTTTTATTCTATTTTATATGACTACAGCTAGTATATATTTTCATATTGTTAGGAAGAGAATCTGACAGTGTACCAGTGTATCCGCACAACTCTAGCCTTATTAAAATGTCAATATTTATGTCCCCTCACAATCAACTAATCAACCCGACACTTTACTTGGTAACAGAAATGCGTCATTCGCGCCAAAGGAAGAGTGGAAATATATATTAAATTGTACTAACCTTTGTAATAATAGGTTTGTTTGATTTCCAACTTTGTTCAGATATTTTTCCGAAATGCAAATCCTTTTTCAACTTTAAACCTTGTAGGAAACTTTCGAATGTTATCTCCTTTGCCTCCGAGCCTACACTAAGTCCAGCCTGTGATTTTTCTTCTGTTTTCTCTATTGTACTTTGTTTTTCCGTCTGTACATCTTTTGTAGTTCCTTCAATTGTCGAAGCATTTAAAACATGAGCTGGTCTGTTGTCAATTGATTTTGTACCTTCCTTAATTTGTGTCAATCTTATTGAGACTGCTTTTTCGAATTTCTTTATCAAACCTAAAATTTTGAAAAGCAAATTAAGCAACTAAGGTCTACACTATAAGTAATGGATAGTTTATCAACAAATTATTTAAATTACCAATGAAACATACTTAAAACAGAGAATTCCATTGTTTAGTTATTTACTATTAAACATTGTGTTCTTGATTGCTATAGTTAAGTTTCCTTAAATTAATTAAATAAAAGGTAATCTATCTCTCAACTAACTTATTTGAAGAACTAGAACTTACTAAATTTATTAATTTCAAGATATAATCTCTTAGTTACAGCATCAAAATAAATTGAATACAGGAAGTTTATAAAACTATACACAAGTTTCGGGTTCATTGGACTACACATGTTTTGATGTCAATGTACCAATAAAAAATCTTTTATAATTGGATCTTGCACCCAATCCAGTAGCCTACGAATTTAGAAACTACATGGCTTCCTTTATCTTCAAATTACTAAATATTTAATGCAATACAAAAGTTTATTAAATACTTACTCTCCCATTGTTCGGGCGTAGCGGGTTTAATTTTCTGTATTAGTTTTTCAACTTCTGCATTTAAATTTGTCATAGACAAATAGTGGCGAATTATCTTCCATTGTCCCCCGAAGGACGACATACTTATTAACAACACAATACACGACAAATTAAAGAAATTTCGATCAGAATATTTAAGTTTTCACGTATTTCCCAGTCACGTACACCAGTACACTACTATTTTCGTTCACAGCCAAACGCGCACTAGTAAAATCGAAATGTCTAGATAGTATAGATATTTCTGGTCCAGTTTAATGTTTCAGTATCGAGCACTTTACTATCGCACTGCGCTGAGACTTGCTAATAAATATTGTTAAACTAAAATAAAAATAGATCAATGACAGAATTCGCGAATGACGTAAAGTGGCGCGATCAGTGCTACCAACACAACAAAATCAAAACAAATCAAAAAGATAGCACGGAAACATTCACTTTATTTCAGTTGCAAAAGATAATTACAAAAACTGATAATAATGTTGCTTCAATGAGAACAAGTTTGTTATTAAAGCGACCAGTAGATGAGGAACCACTTTTATAGCATTATCAAAACATGTTTGCTCAGCCAATTAATTCACTAATCTACAACGTATTATGACGACGTAAGCCACACCTCCGCATGGTAATCACACGTTTTATTTGTAAACAAACATCGTATGATCTGAATTTGAGTCGAATCCAAAATTTTCGGCGAACTTGAATCATCAACAATAACACATGAGGTACATTTTGTTATTGAATTTAACCGGAACTATTACAAAATAATTACATTGTAATTTACATTCTTTTTCTAATTTCTTTATTGATTCTTTACTAGTCAACTTCGATATTTAAAATATTAAAACAAACTTGACCAATACTTGATAAGAATTAAGTAAAAACGTGTTTTATTATTATATGACCTTCAAATACGCTTTAGTTACAAGCAAGACACGCGTCCATTTTATAAATTATTTTTACTTTGTCTCACGCTTTGCCAAGTAGAACAGTTAATGTGTGTCACTTAACAATGTGTTCCGTATTGAAAGTACGTGATTAATCTTATTGTGTTAAATTTATAATAGCAAACTTTATTCCTCATTGGTAGTCGTCTTTGGGCTTTTTGTATCCGACTTCAAAAAGAAGGAGGTTTTCAATTCTGTTCCTTTTTCTTATTTTTATTATCACAGATCGGCAAATCATAGTTTATGTTTAAGAAATTTATGCTTGTGGGGGGGGGGGGAAGATAAATGTAATTTTAATTAATATCTCTCTCAGTTTAGTTAAAAAAAACTTCAATATTATTTTACAAACAGGTTTCATATATGAAAACAGTCAACACATTATGATATATTGTGTAAACAAGTCAGAAATCTCTGTGAATGTTTATCACAATATGTTAAGTCGCAGGTGAAATGCGCATAACGTGACTAATTCAAACATTTTCCGATTGCGCTGTATATAATATTGTTATTCAAAATATCACCGTACTGTGACACTTAGGATGTAAATATATCTTGTATTACATTTCAAGAACTCCACCTTTAGCATACCTAATTGGCCTTCTTATATCTTATAAGACCATGATGTTAGCTAGCTTCCCCCGTTCACCCTAAACCTAGTCTAGATCATCAGCTGGCGACGCCCATGTCTATGCTGAATAGTAAGGCTATTTACCGTATCTACCATATTGTATTATCAGCTCATATAGTCTCCAACGAGGGGCTTCTGCCGTAAGTTACTACGTGTTAGTCAAACCCATTAGCCCTGAGAGAATAGGTTGACTCTCCCAACTCTGAATTTCTTCGCTTGTGCCTGCTTGTCTCTTTAATTAAAAGTCAAGATTGTAGTCAATAGTTTTAATGCCTATTTTAATTATACAAATAAAACTTGTTATGGGAATAACAATTACGTAACTTAATACGTCGCAAACATCTGCGCAATTTATGCATCAAGGTTATATTTATCTTGTCAAATAGTGCTACTGTACTATAGATAAAGACATATTTAAAATACAAAACAGAGTTTTCACTACCCACAAACGTGTATAATACAAAAACTGATTGTTTTCTTATTCATTCTCTTTGGAAAAACAGTTATGAATTCGTACGTTCAATATAAAGCGGAATGGATTTTTATGATTTCAAACAGGAAATTAAATAAAAGACAATTTTATATAAAAACAGATGGATATATTTCTTATGAAAAATAAATATAACGAATATTATTAGAGAGTACAATTTAATTCGCTATCACTATATATTAAGGCTACGTATAAATAAAAAGAAATTATAGCCCGACAAGGATATCTGACCCGGTGGCCGCAAGTCAAACTAAATTATGACAGCTCACTAGCGCCCCCCTGTCAATATCAAAAAATATCACAAGATCCTCTTTGTAATGTAGATGTCATGACATTTTCTATGTCCAAGTAGGTTTTATTTATATTCTGACATAACCAACCGCGATACCAACGGCTCAACGGTTCAGATATTCCTGTTTGACTATATACCTAACTGACACTAAACATTATAACGTTGTCAGCACTGTATACTAAATTAAGAAATGTCTGGTTGGTAGCATTGAATATTTATCATTATTTCTATGACAACAAAAGAATCTATTTTACATAAGGCATATTTGTAAGAAACGTTTTAAAATTCAAATCTACTGATATTATGTTAGATGTTAAATTGTTCGTAGAATGATATAATAAAAATTTCCATTGCTCAAAAAACATGTAGAAAACACTCTCCGTGACGTTTTAACTCGCATAGATGTCTCGAAATATATAAATAATAAATATTTGTGCAATTTTAACATTAATTTGATGCCTTTTACTGAATTTAACTATTCCAAGGCTTAAAAGATTATTGCTTTAGCGACACAATTAGCAAAGTCCACTGTACATAAGACAAATATATAAATATTCGAGTACCTAAAATATATAATACTAAAATTCATATCGCAGTAAACATAGCCAGTCTCTATAATTTAGTCTATACATGTTACTTATTACCTTTCCAAAAAGATTTGGCAAGTTTTAAATTGCAATTAAAGGATTTTATGATTAAAAAACTACCATTGCATATTCTAAATTACATTCGTTTAAAAAAAAATAAAGTAAAAAGGTAAAAAAGCATTTTTTTAAATTTAATATTACAATTAATTTAATTGAAACAATGTACAATATTATTTAATAATAAAAACAATAATAAAAAACCAAACCAATTACATTTTATAAGGAAATATAAAACAAATGATAAATCATTTTAATAAAAAAAAACTTGAAGTATTTTTCACTATAAAAATCATTGTTAGCTTACGTACCATTAGAAAAAAAAATTGCGCGGTAAAAAAAAATAACCATAACAACGTCTTAATGATGTGGATTTGAAATTAAATATAAGTTTCACATCCCAATTAAATTTATTTAAAATTAAGATTAAAGAAAAATTAATTATTAGCATAAAATATTACATTACTATAATTAATATTAACGGGCAAGAAACTTCATTTTAAAAACTATAATCGAAAATAAAGAAAAATAAATTCTATTCATTACATATTAACTGCAAAATATCTTAATAATGATTTGATCTTTTCTAGAACATTCTACTCTTGAAAGTTATTTCATATAACTGTCAATTTTATGTGCGTTACATATTCGAAAATTTTTATCTAAATCAATACAATTCAAAGGAAAACTACTTTTAGGCAGATAGCAATACGGTTTATTATTGCTTGAATGAAATTCCCAATAATATTAAATTATTCGTAGAAAAATGACCTCTACTATTAAATTCAACAAAGATTATTATTGCCTGAATTATTAGTCTACAAGACATATATCTATCTCACTTCCACACATTGCACTATTCTATAGTACAATTTAAAATATGACAGTTCCGAAATATTTACTAAGTTGGCAACATTGACTTACTTCTCTGTCGCACATTACAATTTCTTTCTATGCAAAACAAACTTTTTAACGTAATATTTCAGTAAACGACAAACCATTTACAATAATTTCAAATAAAAATACATGCACCTTGATATATTCACAATTTGTAAGATATTAGCTTTAAAATCGAAAAAAAACTAGAGATAAGCGAGAGTCTAAGAGAACGCGGTAATTTTCTCGCTCATAGAGTGTGTCTCTAACTAGAGTTTCTCGCTTATGGAGGTCGTTCACCGGACAATGACTGTTATAGAGTTTTAAATATTTTTTAATCTATATTTTATTGGATTTTTACCATACCATATTTCAACCACACCACTAAAAATCATGTAGGAGCTAATTTACTCATTATAACAACAAAAAAATTGAAATTATTGTGCACATTTATATTTAAAACATTAATACGTATTATAAAGTATGTAACTTACCATCTACGTAGTCAATGCCGCGGCATATTCGTTCAATGTCTTCAATCCATACCTACCTGTAACTCTGGTATTGTGTCCGCTGACTGCGGGGTTGATGTGTGCGTTGTGTAACTCTGACACTTGTGTAGAACAAGCCGCGGCAGGGTCACCTGATGTTTTCAGACTGCCTAACCTGTTTTACGAAGATGGGATTAACATATCGAACTATATAACGTAGACAGGAACCTGGATATACAAGAGTTCAAGGATATTTTTTTCGCTTTTAGAGATTTTTCTCTTACCAGAGTTTCTCGCTCATGGAGGTTCCTCACTCATCCAGACTGTTAAATGAGTTGAATACACTGTTATTTAACGGATTTTAAATTTACATGAACAAGATAAAAGATGTATCTGATCCTGACAGACAACTTCTATAAGCGAGGATCTCGAGTTAGGGAGAAACCTCTAAAAGCGAGAAAATTGAAATCTCGCTTATCCAGTTTCGAATATATTTTTTACTTTGAACATAATTTTGATTTACATAACAAGTTATGCCGGGTTACATAACAATTTATTATATTCGTACCAGAATTCATTCCCGGGATGGGCATTTCCATCCCAGGGGTATGTCATTACAAGCAATTTGCCGGCGTGCTCTCCTCTCAACTTTGACGACGGCTGACGATTCTCTAGTTGTACGCTTATACCACCTGCAAATAAAAAAAAATAACATTTATTAAATAAAAAGTCTAGAACCCAAATGACTATGACACTCCGGGGAAGAATAGGAATCGAATGACACCACACTCAATTAAATCCGTCCCATAGTTTTAGTTCTAAGCCGTTAAAATTAAACATACAATCGTATATCTTCGTTAGTTACATTTCTCTCGAATTTTACTTACCTTTTGGATGTCTTTTACTTTCAAAGAATATCCTTTTTTCTGTCGGTGTTTCCGCTTCCGAAGAGTTTGTGAAGAGAGCTAAAAAAAAATTCAAATTCATACAACTTCATCCATTCAAACTTTCGCATTTATATACGTCTTATCTTACTAATATTATAAATGCGAATGTTTTTTTAGTACCGCGCGGACAGAGTCGCGGGCGACAGCTAGTATTATATACTTTACCTAATATGCCTTTACTGGGATGTATAAAAGCAAAGTTAACATCAGACACATGATCCAGCATATCTTTCTTAAGAAATGATCTTATCCTTTCTAAAAATGTCAGAATGTACACGTCTGTTTGATGTGTTGATATCATCCATACACCTAAACCTGCAAATAACATCATCATATCATCATCACTATCATCAGCTTACTATACGACCTCACTAAGGGACTTGGAATCAACCTAACCTATACGAGAAATACATTGATACATGGCTGGATTTGAACCCAAGACCTGTATTCAAATTAAGTGACCCCTGAGCCACCTAAGCCCTTATCAAATCATATTATATTATAATATAAATGGAAGAAATTTATAAGGCAATTTAAAGTTAACACATTCGCTCCCACTGACTGCAAGTTCATTATCCATGAGTGAGAGACTCAGGTTAGAGAGAAACCTCTATAAGCGAGACATTGTTCGGTCCCGACAGACGAACTCCATAAGCGAGAAACTTTGACAAGCGAGAAAAATAATTATCTCGGCTGTTTCAGAAAAGGTTCAAGAATATTGAATATTGACGTGACATCAAATATTGTAACTTGAATTTATTAAATTAAATACTTGTTTATGAGATTTCTTAGACCATATAACTCTCTATTATTTAACTAATATTATAAATGAGAATGTTTGGATGGATGGATGATTGTTTGAAAGTATATCCAGAACGGCTGCATTGATCCCGATGAAATTTGGCATAGACGTAGAACATAGTCTGGAAGAACACATAGGGTACTAAGTTTTGTTTTAAGGCTAGTTTTTTGTCAATAAAAAAAAACAAACTTACCACATCCAATAACATTAAGAAATGCAAATCTTCCAGCTTCCTTGGCTCTGTTTTCTGCTTCTAAGAGAGACACTTCCGCCAACACACACAATCTTTTGTAATATACTTCATTGTCAAATATAAAATCATTCTTTGTCTTCACATATCTATCTGTATATTTCTTCTCTTCTGATTTATCTTGAATATTAACATATGAAGTTAATTCTTCATATGTATAACTGTGGACCTAAAGAAAAAAAATGGAACATCTTTTTTAATATCTTATAAAGGACGAGGAAGTGGTTTTTCCAGATGAGAGGATTTATGTGAAGAGGAAATGTTTTCATTCTTTGCATCCTCTCCTCCGTCGATTAAAGGTACTAAGGACTTCAAAAGAGGAGATTCCCAATTCCTCTGTATGTTTTTTTTTAATTTTTTTCACCGATAACCCCTAGTTATCCGATTTTTTGTATTCTTTATCTGTTCGATAGGTATTGTGTTTCATTTGGTATCATTTTTTGAAACATTAAAAAGTATCCAGTAGTTTTTGAGTTATTTTCAATAAAACATGTCAGAAATTAAGAAAAATGGGAGAAAAAGAAAAAAAGAGATAAGATAAATACAAACACAGTATATCACTTACTTGATAGAATTCTGACCACATTTGTCGCCACATATGTTTGGCTGATTGGTTATTCCTTACGTAAGTAGTTTTTAATACATTTAGACATGTCGTTGGAGTTACTTCTTCCCCGTAGCCATTTTCAAGGGAATTCTGTTGGTCTGTTATTAATATGTCTTCATATTCCATGCGATTCGCACGTTGGAAACGAGGTCCTA